TTTTTTTTTTCAATGTTTATTTATTTTTGGGACAGAGAGAGACAGAGCATGAACAGGGGAGGGGCAGAGAGAGAGGGAGACACAGAATCGGAAACAGGCTCCAGGCTCCGAGCCATCAGCCCAGAGCCCGACGCGGGGCTCAAACTCACGGACCGCGAGATCGTGACCTGGCTGAAGTCGGACACTTAACCGACTGCGCCACCCAGGCGCCCCTGGCCTCTTTTCTTAACCTTATGCTGATGAGAGTCATACAAATTGTTGCTTCACTGTATTTTGAAGTTATCTTAGAATTTTGAAAAACATTGTTCCTAGATCCTTACATGGAAGAAGCTTTACCTTAATATCACTAATTTTTGGCCCCCAGAGGCTCCTGGGAGGTTCAGTGGGCCGCCACTTAGGGAACCACTTCCCCACCTTCCTTCTCTCCGCCCACTTCGGAGGCTGGGTCTTTGCGCGTTGAGCACCCGGCCCACAGAGGGCCGTCACGTGACTGCCATCCGGCTCGGCCAAGATGGCGGTCTCCTGCGTGGCCGTGCTGGTGATGGCCGCATCCTTGCTGCTGCTGCTGCTGGTCCCGTGGAAGCGCTGGCGGCGGGGGCGAGCGGATTGGCACGTGATCATTGTGGTGCTGGGCGACGTGGGCCGCAGCCCCCGCATGCAGTACCACGCACTGTCGTTTGTCAAGAGCGGCTTCTCCGTGACCCTTATGGGCTTCTGCAGTGAGTGCTCGGGGTCTGGGAGGGAGGCTGAGCCCTCAGCCTTTGACCCGCGGCTTTGACCTGCCCAGGGGGGCCGGGACGGGGACGTCCCTTTTCTCCCTCCTCTCTCGGACAGCTCTCCGAGATTGGGTTTATCTAGTTCTGGCCAGGTTTCTGCCCAGCTTCTGCTGGGTGGGTCTCTAGGAACAGCTGGCGTTAATGGAGTGCCTGCCGTATGCCAAGAGTGTGCTAAATTAAGTGAACTCATCATATAGTCTCACTTAATCCTCCTAGTGAGTGCAAAGACGGACTGGAATCTAGTGTGTGTGTGACTCGGGGGCCAGTGCTGGTAACCGTAGCTCCTTGTGGCTACTTTTGTCAGGCTGTGTCTCATGGGACAACTTGTCTCCTCTCCATCCCACACCCTCGGTGCAGAGCTGTGCAGGCAGGAGAGGTTTCATTGTGCTGCATTTCCACCTTTTACTCTCAGTGTGCAAAAGCAGGGGTGTCTGCTCCTTCATCCTCCTTCAGGATGACATCTTTAGAGGGTAGCTCAACCGTGTGTCAGGGAACAGGGGGAGTAGCACTGGTTGCCTTTGGTCCCTGTTTAGATTCTGCTGTGGGAGGGTGCAGGAGTGGGGTGAGACTTCCTAGGGGTCTCCCCATGGTGGGATAAATCCACCATTCAAGGAATCTAGATTATTTTGAGTGCCTACTATGTGCCAGGCATTGTGTTAAGTAAATAAAGGTGGACACCATTGAGACCCTCCCTCTCTGGGGGAGACTCTGGACAAGAAGTGTCCCCATGCTCTGTTCTGGCTATGGAGGAACAGAGAGAAAACTCTTATTTTCCAAAAACACTGTTCACTATTCAGCCTGAGCTGGGGGATCATCTGACTTTATATTGCCCTGTCTAGTGCATTGAAGGGGACATTCTTTTCAGACTCCAGACCCTATGATGAGCTCTTGCAGAACAACAGAATTCAGATTGTGAGTTTGACAGAACTTCCGAAACTTGCAGGTAGGATGCTGTCAACTCCAGATTCCTTTGAATCTGTGTGTGTGTGTGGGTGAGGGGAGGACCCGCACATTGCCAAGAATTCCTTTTGGAGTAACGGGTGTTTTTTGACTTGCAGTTGGGCCCCACATTTTTCAGTATGGAGTCAAAGTTGTTTTTCAGTCAGTGTACCTGTTGTGGAAGTTGATGTGCAGGGAGCCAGCAGCCTACATCTTTCTCCAGGTAAATGTCAGTCTCCTCTTGCTCTCTCAGAACCATTGTGAAGTTTCCTTTACTGCCCAGCCTTTTATTTATTTATTGAAAAAAAATTTTTTTAATGTCTCTTTATTTTGAGAGAGAGACAGAGTGTGAGTGGAGGAAGGGCAGAGAGAATCTGAAGCAGGCTCCAGGCTCCAAGCTGTCATCACAGAGGCTGACCTGGGGCTTGAACTCACAAACTGTGAGATCATGACCTGAGCTGAAGTCGGACACTTAACCAACTGAGCCACCCAGGCACCCCTTCCTTTATGACTTTTATACTTGTTTTTTGGTGAGAAGAGAGTCTTATTAATTATCAGGAGGTTTGTAAAGATAAATTGACTCTTTGTTATGTATGTTGCAACTGTTTTCACTCAGTTTATTATTGTTGACCATGGTATGGGTTTCCTTCTCTTCATTTGAGTGTCTCTTTCCCAGAACCCCCCGGGCCTGCCTGCCATTGCTGTGTGCTGGCTTGTGGGCTGCCTCTGTGCAAGCAAGCTCGTCATTGACTGGCACAACTATGGCTACTCCATTATGGGTTTGGTGCATGGTTCCAGCCACCCGCTTGTTCTGCTGGCCAAGTGGTAAGGGTCTTGGAAGAGGGTGCAGACACCTTCCCTGAACCTTGGTAGGAAGAAGGGCCAGTGCAGAGACCTGGTGAAGCTGTCCCCTGTGTGCTCTTTGGGGGTGAGAGCAAGGCTGGGGAATTAGGCTGACTTGGGTTACAAGTGACAGAAATAGCCTAAGGCAAGGAGGGCATTTGTTGGTCCCTAAAACTGCAAAGTCCAGAGACGTGGCTGACTTTAAGCTCAAAAGGGCATTGTCAGGATCCCCTCTCATTTCTCTCTCCACACTCCGTCCTGGAGGTGTTTCTTAGGTGCTGGGAGCTCTCCCGGCACTCAAACCCCCACTGACAGGCTCAGTGGAGACAGGGACCCTTTCTGATTGGCTTGTGCTCCTCTGCCAGGCTCTGACACCCCACTGAGGTAGGGGGGCTGCAGTAACCCGATGTCTCAGGCTTAGGGGAAATGCTCTTCTGTGAGACCTGGGGTCCCAGGTGAACCCAGACCAGATGCCCAAATAAAAACCGAAGCTGCTGTTAGACAATGGGACTCAGGCAACAGCCTGCTGCAGTCAGTGAGACAGGGAGAGGGAAGAAGGGCCTGTGGGAGCAGGTTGGACATGGAGCAGGAAGAGTCATGTTCTCAGCCTGAGTGGGCGACATCTGCCGCCTCTCCCTGAGGGACATTCACTGAGGGTGGTAACAGCTGCCGCAGCAAACGATCAGTGCATACATGCTGCATGTCAGGCTTCAGGCCAAGCCCTTTATCCTGTTCAGTCTACACTCCCCCTGGTGAGAACGTCCTGTGGTCACTCTCCGTTTACAAGCCAGGAAACCAAGGTCGAGCACCATTTTGCTGCTTGCCACACAGCTGATATTGTTGTATGAGGATCAAAATTCAGTCCCAGGCTGTCCAGCTCTCTCGCCTTCTCTGCATCCTGAGTGAGGAGCCGGCTGTGATAAACCAGTGGCATTGAACAACCTTGTGTGCTCCTTCCCTTTCTGGTTCTCTTTCAGTTCTGCCCTCAGATCAGGGCTCAAGTCTCAGTTGGGAGTTAATCTGTCACTAAGGCCTCTCTAACATTTTTAAAACCATCCCTTGGTAATGCACAAGCCTCAGCCCCACAGCCTTTGCAGCAAGAGCACAGTGTGGCTAAGATTAATAACGAGGCCTTTACTATATTTCTTTCTCTTGTGGCAAGAGAGACTAGATTTTCCCTTCTTTAGAGATAAGGTTTCTAACCGTATTTATTTATTTATTTATTTATTTATTTATTTATTTATTATTATTTTTTTTTTTTAATTTTTTTTTTTCAACGTTTATTTATTTTTGGGACAGAGAGAGACAGAGCATGAATGGGGGAGGGGCAGAGAGAGAGGGAGACACAGAATCGGAAACAGGCTCCAGGCTCTGAGCCATCAGCCCAGAGCCTGACGCGGGGCTCGAACTCACAGACCGCAAGATCGTGACCTGGCTGAAGTCGGACGCTTAACCGACTGTGCCACCCAGGCGCCCCTCTAACCGTATTTAAGCTGAAAAGTGATATGACTTAAAGAAAGGGATAAAGGAAATAATAGTACAGATGGAACTCAGCACAAACTCTGGGAAAGTGCCTCACCAGCAACCCGATTTGGGAGACCCCAGCTCTGTGTTCTTCTGCATCAGAAGGTGTCAAGTCATGTGGAGGTGGTGGTGGTGGTGGTGGGGCCCAAGGCCTAAGGCTCTGGGCTGACAGTGATATGTCTTTTCAGGTACGAGAAGCTCTGTGGGCGCCTGTCACACCTGAACTTGTGTGTGACCAACTCGATGCGGGAAGATCTGGCACAGAACTGGGGCATCAAGTAGGTGCCTGGGGAGGCGAGGGGTCCCAGCTGCAATGCCTACTATGTCCTATTGGCAGGGTGTGTAGAAATCCCTAAGGGTCTGGGAGAGGGTTCCTGGTTTGGGAAGCTGAGGGAGCAGGAGGAGGCCAGATGCCCCATGCACTTTTGGTCTTAGAACATGTCTCTGTGCTTCCCCAAGCAGGGCTTGTCCTTGTCTGAGACTTGGATCTTCTGAGTGCTCTTATTTTCTGGATCCTCTTGGATCATGTATTCCGTAGGCTTTTCTCTGGCTCTCTCTAGAGCCCTCAACGATCTCATTGCAGGGCCGTGACCGTCTATGACAAGCCAGCATCTTTCTTTAAAGAGACGCCCTTGGGCCTGCAACACCGGCTCTTTATGAAGCTGAGCTGCACCTACTCTGCATTCAAGGCCTGGTAGGTCTCCCATCCCCAGTCTTTATGTCCCTTCTCTTGTGTTTGCAACTGTCTGGCCTCTCCCCCATGTCCTTGCTGCCCCATGTCCCCTGTCTGCTCACTGCTAGCCTGGCCTCTCTCATCTTCTGGCTGCAGACCTGGGAATCCACTAATCCAGGGGTTGGCAAACTATGACCACAGGCCTGCCACCTGTCTTGGTAAATAAAGCTTCATTACAGTGCAGCACATGCATCTGTTTTTGCATTGTCTCTGGTTGCTTTTGCACTGTAACAACAGAGGAGAGTTTTGCAACAGAGGCTGGATGATGGTTTTGACATGGCCACGTCCTGACCTTTGGGAGCCTATGGGCTTCACTCTGGTAGGAGATGGCTGTCCTGGGGCCCGAGGGCCTGCTTGACACCATCTCATGGGATCTGTTTCTGTTCCTTCAGCTCAGAACCCCTGGACCCAGACACAGAGAGGTCGGCCTTCACAGAGCGGGATCCTCAGAGTGGGGTGGTGACACATCTTCGTGGGCGGCCGGCCCTGTTGGTCAGCAGCACGAGCTGGACAGGTCTCAGGACCCTTCTGGACCCTTGGGGCTTGTATGAGCACCTGGCTAAGCCTGCATTATCCTTGCCCTTGCCAGGCCTTTGCCCCACATGTATTTAAGGACATTGGGCCCTGATGAGAAAGGGGAAGTATTGAGTTGGGAGGGAGGCGTCTAGAAACCAGCCCATGACATTTAGGTTTCTTTTCTTACAGAAGATGAAGACTTCTCCATCTTGCTGGCAGCATTAGAAAGTAGGTGTGTGGCTTTGATCAGGAGCTGGGCTTGTTGGCTCTTGAGCTGTGAGGTGCTCACCTGGCCTTGCATGGTGTCTTTGGCAGCATGTTCCTGCCCCCAGGGCCACTGGGTAGGCCAGCCTAAGAACACGGTGGTGGAGATGGTGCCTCTGATCCCCATTTGGGTTACTGAGTGACCAGACCCTAGGTCTGAAGTGCCACCTCTGGGAAACTGATCTTGTGGTTGGGAGAGGCGTCCCCCCAGTGCTCCCCCAACCGCTCCTCACCTGACAAGATAATCCTGGTTATCATTTATTTTTTTATACACAGAGTTTGAACAGCTGATCCTGGATGGAGAGAGCCTTCCTTCTCTGGTCTGTGTGATAACAGGTATTGCCAAGGATCTTCCATGTTCCCATATTAAAGGGGGGCAGTGGAGGGGGATGAAGGCATCTCCCTTTATTGTGTGCCTTCCCCATGCCAGGCATGTGATGTTGTTGTGTTGTTAATTCTGACCACAGTTCTGTGATACAGGATTTTCTATACCAGCTTGACAGAGAAGGAAACTGAGGCTCAGAGGGGCCTGACAGCAGGGCATGTTTCTAGTTGAATCTTGGATAGCATGGCCTCAGAGATGCTGAGCTTTCCACTCTTGCAGCAATTTCCAGGCATCTTTTTTTTTTTTTT